CGATTGTGAGACTGGAGCTGAGTCTGGCACTGACTGATGCTGGCAACTGAAAGCCAAAATGGCGTGCAGTTAAATTTCTAAGGCACTCACTCACTCACATACTAAGCGCATAGAGTACTTGTATATACATACAAGTATGTATATACATATGTATGTACATGCATATACCATAAATACAAACGAACACACACACGTACGCAGGTCGGCAGAGAAATATGCACTCATTGCTTTGCTAGCAGATTACATTTTCGAGTTTCGAATTGCGCCAACTTGAGTCAACTTGAATTGACAGTTGATTAGCTATTGTTGTTGTCATTGTCATTGTTATTGGAGTTGTTGTTCCTTTGGCTGCTGATGCCACACATTTGTTGGCATTTAGGTTTAGGCGTTGCTATGAATTTGAGCTCACTTCAAAATTCAATTAGTCGGCTTTGCATTGCAAAGTAGACAAAAAATAAAATGTTCACATAAAATAAAACATCCAAGAATGGATTGTTGTCGGTGTTTTGTTTTTTGTGATATTGTTTATTTTGAAGGTAGTGTGTGCGTGCAGTTGCATACATTAGCACGAATGAGTGTGCATTATAAATCAGTTGCCTGGTGACCCACATATGTTTTCGAAAATAAAAGAACAATGCAAAGAAAGAACCGCTCAGCCACTTATGTGAGTGACAAAAAACGGGCGCTGGAAAAGCAGCGCGCACGTCATGATTGATAGTGCAACGGTTATGCAAGTCGGGTGGGTCTTACCATACATATACTATATATCGCACAAATATGTGACTTATCTCAAAAGCCGAACAGGCCAGACACCACACGCTGACGACCTACGCCTGGCCTAGACACCAATAGCATCCCCGTTTCCATCCTCACACACAATGGCTGCTTATTCACATTCAATGGGTTATTGCAGGCATATATCAGTAACTATTGAATGAAGCCGGTGGCCCATGCCAGCTGATTATTTTCCCAATATTGGAGCAATGCAAACGCAATTGACAATGGAATGCAGACATGCTTTTAGTCTATTATCTATACAAGTGCGACAACATGATCCGATTTTAATTTATCCGTAATATTCAAGGAACACAGCTACTATTTAAAAAATATACAGGTATTGTAGCAGTTGAGAAAAACTAGCCTCTGACATGAGTTCTGATACACTTATACTATACTTGTAAGTTATTCTATTATATTTCATACACTCTGTCAAATTTAAAATATCCTTCCAAGCCAAGCATCGACAACATACATATATAATTAAATGCCAATTAGCAAATAAGTTCTAATACGTAGAGTAATTGTAGCAACGATCGATCCTAGGGCGACGATACTTATAAAATATTACTGATGTACGTATGTGGTTTCTGATAAACTTGCCTGTTTGGCTTCGCTAGCTGTTACAGTTCAAAAGTTCTCGGTTCTATATAAGTACATATAACAGTTTCTAGTATACCCTTGCATCCTTCGGATATATTATATTTGTAAGAAGAAAATTACCTTATTTCCGGGCTCGAAACCTATTTAAGGAAAACCGCAAATCTAAACAAAAATTGTGGAATACTTTTGATAGAAATTCATCTTCTTAGTTTGTAATGAAAAAATAAGTTTAAGAAATGTGCTTATTATTAGACCGATTATTTGGACTAGGAATTTCATGATTTATCATTGACACATAAATAAAAGCTTAACGAAGACTTTAAATACTTGTATAGTCACATACTTTACATCTTTTACATATTTTTATTGCTCTTCAGACCCATTGTACGGAATCGTCTTTCAATACTTGGCGCACAATGCCAATGACAGTCATGGCGGAAATCGGTTGCCGTTTGCCGTGAAGCCAACTTTTTGACAATTGATGTGCGCAAATACATATAGTACTCGTATATATCCACGTATAAGTACAAGTAAGTCAGACCCACTCACAATGCCTGGTGAGTCGCTCGACCGACTTGGCTCCAGACAAATTGCAGCCACCGCACAAAGTCGTGGCACACACAAACATAGATTGAGACGCAAGACCCTGCTGTTGTAGAGGTGATAGCACCTTTAGTCTAATGTTGGACAGATTTCTGGTATACCAATGGCTTACGCGATGGCTTAACCAAAATTGAATGCGTTTACAAATAATATTCAACTATATATTTATTTTGTTTCAGGGCTCTATGTCATATACAAGTATGATTTCTATCATACACAAGTATTGGATCTCTCGCCATTTCGAAAAGGTCCAACTCTTGCTTATCAAGATAGTCTGCTAAAATGTACGTAGAAAATGTGAATTTGTTTGAATTTTGAGATTTCTTTAAAGTATTTAGTTATTCATCAGTATCCATATTGCTTCTTCCAATCCTCGAAGCTCTTTTGAAATGCCCTTTTCGATATGGCCATCACCTTATTCTTCGATTTTGATTTTATCTCATCCATTGTGACAAAAAGCTTTCCCTTCATTGGTCTCTTTAGTTTTGGGAATAGGCAAAAATCGCAGGAACCATAAGTGCCATGGCATAAGTGCATTATATCTGAGGGGGATTGCCTTGAAGGGGACAAGATGGATATTGATTAATATAGAAATGCTTTTCAAAGGAATTCAAATTTCACCTTTTCATTTATTTATTTATCAATATCCATCTTGTGCACTTTTTATTTTTTAAATAAAAATTTATGAAGTGTTAAGTAAAAGTAGTTAGTTATATTCAAACAAAAATTGTTATTGAAAATGAGGCAAATAAATTGCGCTAGCATTTCCGCTTTTCTAAAAAAATTAACCTCCATAGATTACGAATACTTTTTAGAAAACGTGAAACTCATTGTATTAAGTATTGAAACGAGATTTGATCAGGCGGCCACTTTAAGTGGTTTAAGTCGGGCTATAGGTTGGTCGGCTGAACAACAGGGTCTCACCCATTGATACCCCCACAAAAGTGAATGCTTGTGTGCCGCATTGCTTAGTCAATTTTTTGCAAACTGAGGTAAATTCAATTGAATTGAACAGCAAGTCGGGCAGTGGCAGTGGCAGCGACATCGACAGAGACAGCGACAGCGACAGCAAGCGTTGGCAAGGGCCACAATGGCGCTTAATTTTGTACGCTGCAGTTGGAAGATGCGTGATGGTGTGGGTGCGAGGGACTGAGCGAGCGAGGGAGCGGGTTATGCTCGCAGCTATAAACAATATTGAGTCGGACTTGGCACGTGTGTGAGGCGGCATGAGTTGCTGACTTCGATACGAACTTAAGCTTTACAAGACTTTTCACTCACACTCGAACTTCCGGCATGAGCAGCTAACGCAATTTAGAATGCTTTTGTTTAGCGAATGTGTTTGTGAGCGTAGCTAGCTTTTCTCTCAATGTCATATATTGGCTTTACCTAAATCGGATTTGCGCTGCAGCCACGGAAATGTGAAACCGCTCTCATGACACAAGACCAAAACAGGCCGGAAGCAGGAGCTGTACTTCCAAAACCAAACCGCAATAGTTAAATGTGGACAAGAGAGAACGCTACAGTCGAGCAAGCCCGACAGTATAATACCCTGTACCCAGGTAAACTTCCGTCACTGAGTTATATGCGCCCATAGCAGCAGCAAAAAGAGGAAGAAGAAGAGCGAACTTGTTGCTGCAGTTTGGGGGGTTGTACTGGCGAGAATTGGTTTTGCTAATAACTTTTCTTAGAATTGACCGAATTGAATAAAATTGAACTACAGTAGACAATTATATATAAATTATGTGTGCAAAGTTTGATTTAGGTAGCATTTGAAATGTGGACGCTATTGACGAAATTCTGTAGCGGGGGAAGGGGGGGAAAATTAAAAAAAATAAACTAAACTCGTCCTTACTCGGACCCAGGAGAATCTGGATGCCAACTTTGGTTATTCTAGCTTTTATAGTTTCTGAGATCCTCGCGTTCATCCAGACGGACAGACGGACGGACATGTCTAGATCGATTTCTCTCGTCATGCTGATCAAGAATATATATACTTTATGGGGTCGGAGATGCTTCCTTCTCTATGTTACATACTTTGCACAAACCTAATATACCCTTTTTACCCTACGGGTACAGGGTATAAAAAGTTATGATCAAAGAACAACATGTGGGAATGCACACTTTTCACTGTTGAAATTTTAAAGCTCATCTGCAGCTTTCGCATATTTTAAGGTCTGACCCTTATGGTACTCTCATCACTCTTTAAAATAGCAAGAGAGAACGCTACAGTCGAGCAAGCCCAACTGTGAAATACCCTGTACCCAGACAAACTTCCAGCGGTGAGTTTTATGCGCCCATAGCAGAAGCCAGGCGGGTAAATAAGAAAATAAAATAAACTCATGTTGTCTGGATATAAGGAGAGTCTACATACCAAGTTTGGTGAATGTACGCTCAGTCCACTACTAAATCCAGGCGTTCATCCAGACAGACGGACATGACTACACCTAATTCTGTTTTTACACGGTAGATTGGTTCCAGTAAAAATCGTGTAAAAAACCGTGTGAAAAAAATACATTAATCAAACCGAGTAAAAACAGAATTAGGTGTATATCGATTCATCTCTTCATGCTGATTAAGAATTTAATATAATAATGAATTTATAACAAGAGAGAACGCTACAGTCGAGCAAGACCGACATAATAACTTTTCTTAGAATTGACCGATTTGGATGAAAGTAGACATACATAATTGTATAGGGATTGCTTGTGTTTATGAATCTTTGGAAATGATAAATAATATTAACAATAGTCTTAATTCTAGTTTTCGCAATAGCATCTATACTACATTCACGAATATTTAATATATTCCCAAAGCGCATGGTTGGTTGTTTCAAGTATTTGTAAAAGGTGGTAGACCCATAATGGACCATCTTTTCCAACATATAACTAAAGTCCTATCAAAACTCTTTGAGAAGTCAACAATCTACATACATACATATTATGTATTGAAATTTCCATTTATTGCATCATGAACTGATTGACGTATGGGTGCAATATTGCAAACGCAGTGCTACTCACCCGCCTTGCACGGATCCATGTCGATGTCATTGGAAACCTTGGGCGTCACTTTCATATGCAGGAGCTGCTCGATGCTGTATTTGCTGTGATAAGAGTGTCGCTTTTCCGAAGCAGGCAGCAGCAGGCGATGTTGATGTTGATGTTGTTGTTGCTGGTGGTGGGGGGGTTGCGGGTGCAACCTGTGGTTTGTGGCATGTGGTCGCCCGCCGTGCAACTCCTTCTTACGATGCGCTTTGGGTTCGCTCTGGAAAGCAACTTCTATGCTCGGCGGCGATTCAGGAGGGTTGGTGTTCTTGTTGTTTTTGCTGTTGTTGTTGCCATCATTATCATTGGTATTACTATGCCCGCCATAATTGTCAGCATTGACGTTGACGTAGTCATGGCCCGCTACAGCGTTTGGCTCGTGGAGCTTGGCGCTTTTGGCATGCGCCGAGATTAGAACCAGCAGCGCTGTGGCCACAAGCAGTGCATAGTTGGTGTAGCTCATGGGGCCTCCTCCCCCTCTCCCGTACGCGGCCCGCCGGAATTTGTGCAGCTTGTGAAGAGCTGCCATTTCTTGAATTTGTTTTGTCTCGCTTGTTTGTTTATTTGTTTATTTTTGCTCGCAGCGGCGTGTCTTAAATTTCGCGTGTGACTTTTGTTTTCTTCTCGGGGTTCGTGGCAGACCGATAAGTCTATAATCGTGGCATTTTCGTGTTTCACGTGGTCTGCAATTGGCACAACAAATGAAAAATTCATTAAAACACCGTACAGTATTTATGTAAATACTTTTACTCGTACTTATGTATTACATACCTATTTAGATACTACAAGTATAAGTGTACGAGTGTTGTGGATTCTGCGATTCTGGGCAGGTGGCCACAAACCACTCGACGCTGGCTTGAATTGGTTTTCGAATGATCAGCTCATGCTGATACTTAGGAATTGTGTTTACACAATCGTTCATGTTTGTACTGGAACGTATATAATAAATTCGTATGTATGTATATACATACATACAAGCATGTATGTACCTACATACATGCATTTATAAATAAGCTTGGCTGAGCTTGGCTGCTGATAAGCCTTTGTTTTTGAATGAATGTCTGAATATGAGATGAGTTTTTGTTAAGTCAACGACTCAAGGCTAATTCTCATTATACTCTGAACCTGAAAGGTACAAGAGTATATAAGGTTTGAGGAAAGCGAAAAGTGTATCAGACAGAAAGAGGCGAGGAAGACCCCCCAAAGTCAAAGACGAGTAATTCTTGGAATTATTCAAGGAAATTTGCCAAATACCTCCTGTTAGTTTCTTAATGAGAACTTCTGTGTAGGAATATTTATATATGGATATGTGTACTCCATATATGTATAACATTATTATTTTATATAACTTCAATTCGACCAATTCGAGGATTCTTGTGTACAAAATAATGATAGCTTAAAGCTTTAAATAACGCGGAAACATATATAATCTTGGATTTCCTGCAATCGGTACTATATCGTAAACATATCTGTCATTAAAGTGAACTTATGTATATTTTAGGTATATGAGTGTAGCGGGAACAGGGTATACAGAGCTCGGACTCACGCGATTTTGACATGAGTTATGGGAGCTTGAATATTTGTACGATTTGTTATCTGTTAATTTTTCGGACGATGACATAGTTTCGTACTTATTATGTTAAATTGATTTGTCAGTATGTTAAATAATATTTCTGATATACCGTTTTATTATTCGACTGAGAAGAATAAAAACGGTATAGGTATGTAGATTGGTGCAAAATATGTAAAAGGCAGAAGGAAACATCTTCGTGTGCATCTAAATGAATGCCTGGATTTTGGAAATCGGCTGAGCGCTCATTGACCAAACTAATATGTAAGCCCTTCTAGTCTAGGCAGCACGAGTTTAGATATTTATTAACGTGCTACAGAGTTTCGTCAATGCTGTCCATAACTTCTAAGCCACATAACATAAATTTAGCTCTTGGAACACTATGTATGACTGCATTTACTAAATGTGTATTTTTTAAATTTCAAATTTGCTCGACTGTAGTACAAGTATTTTATCCGGTTTTTGATATTAATTGTCGTAATTTAAAGAGAGTTAGAGATAAGAAGCATTCTATCGAGTACAAACAAAGTAATTGCTTTTACAAAAGTTCGCTTTATCACAAAACCTTTGCAATAAAGTGCATCCATCACATTGCAAAGCTCATAAACTACAAGATAGAAGGATTTAGGGATTACAAGTTACAAGTTTTGAGTGTATATAAAAATAAGGCTACCACCGTCTGATATTACTGTCTATTGACACCCAAACGTGCCAGCTGGGTTCCTTGCTTAAGTTTAGGGATGGGCATGGAAAAATTGTATATTTTGTGTCTATACCCTTCAAAAGGATATCCTCCTCTATATAATAGTTTAAAGGAGGGTTATTGTTCTTATAATATGCACTTAATAAAAAGGTAACAACTAAGTAATTTGCAGTCGCTGATTATATTCAATCAATCAAGTAATGTACAAACTCAATATTTTTGCATTCAACTGGAAAGGTTGCTTGTCTGCATATTTGTAAGTACTCGTATGTACGTATGATTGCCTTTAAAATCATATGAGCATGCCGAAAATAAATTATCCTGCTGTACAAATTATGCGCACAATGCTCAAGTAACCTCGCAAGCCCCTAAGTGCTCGTCGCAGAGATGAAAGAAAATACGCCAACTGCCGTACGCATTACATGCAATAATTTACACACATACATATATGCTTACCAACGTGCTCGTAAGACTCAGATTCACAGAGTATGTGTCTGTGTGTGCACAGCTGTATGTGCAACTTCATTAAGCCATGTGCATTTAGTTGAAACAATTCTCGGTAGCAGTAGCAGTAGCAGAGCTGCCATGAAACATTAAGAACAAAAGACGTGTAAGATTTCGACATGCAGCAAATGGTGGAAGGAAAGAAGCGAGGCACATGTGGCTGAAGACGCAGACAAGAGCAAACCCAAACAAGACGCTGGCGGCATGTGGCACGGACATAGATGGATAGGCAGATAAACAGCAAGAGAAAGAGCGCGGGGTAGACAGCGCTCGGCATTGCAGAATCAGGTAAAAGATTCATGACAACTTACCACTCAATTAACTCAAGCCTAAGATGTCGCAGCACGAGCGCACGCGCCCACCTAGATACAAACACACACACACAGACCCCTGTCCTTGCCTGAACACAAAGACAGGTAATTAAAAATCATTTAACGCATTTATATAGTAGTAAAGGCAAACGCTCCCGTCTTCGCCAGATGTGCGGATTGCTGTCCAGCTTTCCTGCCGCAGCCGCTTGAGCGTGCCGCGCCTTGCCATTGCCTTCGATTCAAAACTCCTTTTCAATTAACTAAACGACCAACCCTTCTCAAATTGTAGCCATTTCATTAAATCATTTAATTTCCTGCGCACCGAAAACAACAACAACAACAATAAATGCAACAAAGCAACCAGTGAATCAAACAACTGCCAAGTTCGCTATTCGGCAAGTGGAAATAGCAAACGAAGTTTCTTCATTCAGGCCTAACATTTGCTTAAAATTACATTTGAATTGCGACTGCAATACTACTTATAAGTTAGTTTTTAATCAAAAAGTAGTCCAACTGTCAATATACGTTGGAATGACACTTTGTTATTTTGCAAGTGGCTAATGGGGGCCTAAAGGGGCGTAAAGGGAAGTAAAGATGTTAAAATAATAGTTAATAAAAAGATGAAATAGTAAACTACCAAGTTGACTCGAAAACCACAGAGTCAAGGGATTTACTGAATGTTATAGATTAGAAGGTAAATGTATGCCAATCATTCGCAGTTGAAGAACTTTCAATGAAACCATGTTTCCAAGGGAAGATTATTGATTTACGAATATGCTGCAAAGTGGAGATAACTACGAAAAATATAGGTAGGTATAGCAGAAGACTTTTAGCCCTGTAATTAGATCACCTTTATTATATAGACACATTATAAAAGATCTCTCCATAGAGCTGCAAAAACTGAAGTTCAGTGGCACATTGAAGACCTTAAGCAAAGGATTGTTCAAGGAACTTAGTAAAACACTTTATGGTTCAGACTTTAATACGAATAACCGAACTCCCACCACCAAGATCGAAAGAATCGTCATACTTATAAGATGTAGAGTTCACAAAATTGTTTTCCAAATTCCTTCCTTCGCACTTTACACTCTAACCTATTCACCTTGTTTCACAAATACACATTTCTCCAGTTTCAGGCATGATGTTTATATTCATTTCAATAAGATAAACAGAAATATTTTAAACGAGTTATAAGTCCTCTTTCCACCAATTAAGCTTCTGTTCGTTTCTCCCTACTCCAGTAGTTTTACTGTCAACTGTTTTTTGTTATTACTCATAGTTAGATTTCCAAAAGAGTGCGCTTTTCCAATTAAAGACACGCAACCAATTACGATTTAAAATCCTGACTGAAATTAGGGACAGGTTAAAGCAATTGCTATTAAACAAATTCCTTTTTTTTAATTGCAAAGTATTTGTTCGCCCAAGCACCAACCAAGCACGAAATCAAGCAAATACAAGTAGAGGCGCAGAAAAGTCGAGCCAAATAAAAAGCAGAAGCTTAAGCAAATGTAACCAGCCCTTGCCAAGGTTGGACTACGTGCGAACGCAAAACAATGAAAAGCTGTGGCCAAACAGCAAAGGAGAAGCCCGTAACATATTTTCTTAATTCCATTCTATTCCATTTCATTTTGTTTACGCACCGCAACCATTTTAATAATCCGCAAGCGCTTAATTACGTATACGCCACATGGGCCCAATGACCGAAGCCAATGCGAACCCGAACACCAAACACCAACGCTAATGCCAATGAGGATCCTACAACTGCGATGATGATTATGACGACGCAACTTTTCATTAAAAATGCAATTGATAAATTCCTAACTAGAGGAGGAAAAAGTAGGGAAACTTTGGAAATGAAAGAAACGTTGAAAAGTATGTTAATTGGCAGACGTTGCTTCACTCACTGTCGTCGCTCTTGATCTCACCCACTTCTGCCCACATTAAAGGCAAATGAACATAAAATTGGCTGTTGGATACCGTTGAATTGGACTCATTGTTTTAAATTCTTTGACTGCCTCTTGAGCTTTCATTTACAAAAAATTCAATGTCACAATTCTTATCATCATTCAACGAAATTTAGCAGCGGGCGTCTTCTCAGCCCCTACACGCCCACAGGCTGCTCACCTACGCTTATCGGTACATGTGTGTGTATGTTAGTATCTGTGTGTTGTGTGTGAAATTGCGCGAAAGGTCGTCCTCATATCTGTTGGCGCACTCTAAACGTAAACATATTAAAATTTCATTGCACAACCGCCTTAAGACAAATTCTACGTACCATTCAACACAACAGCAACGACAAAAAAAAAACAACTGCTGCTTCTGTTTAAAAAAAGCATTTTATAGACATACTTGTACTATACGTACTTACTTATACTACATACGTATAGACAGGAGTCGAAAGTCGAGAATGCGCAGCGGCAAGCAAGGCATGGCACATTGATGAGCAGACTAACAAATTGCACAGTGGTCCAAAACTAATGGCACCCACCTATAATATTTGTAAGATCTATTGAACAAATTACGAGAGAAGGTTGGTTGATTGATAATTGGTGTTTATATATATCAATATACTATATTTATATTCTCTTTTGGAAA